TCAGGTTACGCACAGCATCAACGTTTTCTTGGGTGACTGCAGTTTTTGGACGACCTTGACGGGGATCATCACTGAGCTTGACACGTCCACGTTGAAATTCAGCAAACCAGCGATAAATTGTGGTTTTGGATGGAACTTCATCACCAAATGCAGAAATCATCCGGTCAACACACTGTTTTTGTGTTAAACCTCTTCGAAAGTCATAATAAATCATCGCTCTTGAATTTTCTCGAGTCAATTCCATTTTCTCAACGACTAAACAAGTTTGACAAAACCTTGTGACAAGACCGGGAATCTTTTTTTTAAATAAATAAATGGTATTCAATTTTTAAAACTAAGGAGTTTTCAATAAAAAAGATTTTAATATGACAGGAACAGTGGAAATATTCCATTCCCGATACTTTTAGTGCAGCCTATGTATATAAAGGTCAGTGAGGCTAAAGACATAGTAAATAGAGACATTTTGTATGGTATAGCCAGTTCAGCGTACTTGTATATATAGAGACCAGTGATACTGTAAGGCTAAAGACATAGTAAATGATGGAGTGGAATTTTTTTTCGGACTTTTTATTTTAAAAATTCAAAAAATCTATTTGAATGGACTGAGGCATATCACAAGTTCGATGTCGTATAAATAGTTATATTAAAACCTTAATTTCCCATTTTCCCCATCAAATATTTACTTCAAGTGTACCTATATGGGATCACCGCAGAAGTATATTAACGTATAATCATTAAAATCTGTTCACAATGAAGGCTAACAATAATCTTCCACTTTAATTAATTATGTGCCATATATGTCGCCAGTTGACACCGAGGTGAAGTATTTTGTTACACAATGTCATTTCATTAAGAAGTATGTTTTAAATAAAAGTTTATCAGTTTGTTGAGTATGATATCATAATATACAAAACAATGCGTCAGTGGTTTGCTCTTTAAGTTTTTGCACATTTTTAACTCTTTTTTAATTTCTTCTACTTTTATGAATATCTGCGGTTTGATTTATTTACTTTTAATCTGATTAATATAAAATATAACTAAGAGTAAAGAAAGAAACATTAACTTTTATATTTTTTGAACAAATACACTTCCTGACTATGAAATCTGTCAAATATTACACCTCATTTTAAGTGGCGCCGCCCAATACACATTATAAACGTACATACAAAATCACAAAAAAGAACATACAGTCGATCTAAGAACCTCCTTCTTTTTTGAAGTCGGCTAAAAATAGAGTGAATTAAACATTAGACACGATAATTTTTTTCTTCTCTAGTTTTTAAATATAAAAATAGAATAAAAAGATGTGTAAAATTTTTCTGCAAAAGATGATCTGTAAAATTAAAGTAATGAAGGAATGTTAAAAAAGTTCAAAAATGTTCGAACAATGTTTTACAGATCGGCAATCATGGGCAAATTTTGAAAGATTTGTTGCTGTATGCTAGTACATCTTTGAAAAACCCTATGCCATTCTTGGATCGGATTAGAACCAAAATAAACTCTCGATGAAGAGCCACTATAGTATCATGGATGAAGTTAATGTGTGGCTGTGGTGGTCGCCTAATGGTCGAAATTAGGCGTAATTCATAAATTTTTCATTTTTTATATTCTGCACATTAATATATTTTTTATAGAAGAGGGATTAACAAGCATGCGGCTCACCTTGTGGTAAGCGATTAAAGTCACAATGAACAACTGTAACACCAACTTCTATTTACAGATGACTCCATATTTAGCCTGAAGCCAGATGGTGAAATGATAAAAGTGCAGAGACGCCTGGGAGGGAGGTACGCTCAGTCCAACATCATTGGAAAAGGGGCATATGGCGGAGGGTCACCTATTTTATGGGAAGGTATCTGTATAGGGGCACGTACGGAACTCCGCGTCATTGAGAATGGGTCTCTACACTTACTATTTTTTTTAGAAATGTTTGTTTTTATACATGATAATGCACGCCCTCATATTTCCGACGTAATTGTGGGGAACGTGCTCGCCCGACTTAAACTCCATAGGGTATGTATGGGATAACACAATGAACAACTGTAACAGCAAGCAGGTGCGTTGCCGGACTTTTATAAAGGAGTAAGGTCTTTTCTTGAAGATCCTTTAGGTCGTATCGGTCCGGAAAAATCACAGGTAGTACGAGGCAGAAAACTACTAGTAAAACGCACAGCGATGATCCGCCAGGTAGGTGGTATCGTGACTTTTGTCGTGCGATGTGCTTTTTTTAAATTTGGTGCCTGGAATTAATCTGAACCATTCTTCAGAGCACTCTCCATGGTAAATGTGATAGAATAATATGAAAAAGCACATCATGTTTTCGCAGCGCCAGTGAGTCAAGCCGACCATAAAGAACTCGGTCGTCGACAATTCGAGCCGCTCTACGCTGGATGCGTTCAAGTGGAAGGAGCTGACAGTGAGGGGCACCGGTCCAGAGATGAGAACAGCGTTCCATGAAAGGCCTAGCTTGCGCCTTGTAAAGTTGTAAGCGGTGTGCCAGCATGAAATGCTGAGCACGCCAAGCTATTTAGAGGCCAATTTAGCCTTCCCTTCCAAGTGTCCTTGAAACAGCACGTCATTCGATATGTCGACGTCGAGGATTCCGATGTTCGCTAAGGCAGCAAGGGGAGTAACCCTGAAATTGAAGAGATACGATTGAGTGGTCCTTTTTAGCGGTGAACGCAATCCGAGACTTTGTTTAACAACGGCTCGACTTCAAACACAAGTTTTTTCCTGCACTTGACGACGTGATTTTGAGAATATGACACGACAGTTGTAAAATATAATATAGAAATGTGATCGTCTATAATTATAGAAAATTTACATAACCAGGATTAACATATATATATATATATATATATATATATATATATATATATATTGATTTTCCCACAGATTTTTCTAAAGGTTTATAGGCCGTTTGTTATATTTATGGCGTGATCGTCTTAGTTAAGACCTTTATTTACGTTGTTTTAATATGGAAGAATCAATTTTCACCAGAACAGTCGAAAGCTGTTGGTAGTGCCTTATAATTATTTTAAGCTAAAGAATCCCGTTCACGTAGACAGGGCTCAAAAAACAACAAATCGTCCCTATTCCACTTGTATCAGGTTCACATCAATCAATTCCTTAACAATTAATTCCTTCCCACTTGGAAAAGGCTCACAATATTTATATAAAAATAGCCGTTTTTACAATGCACGTTTTTACAATTAAATGGATAAGCCCAACGTCAGATACACAAACCTTTCTGATGGTGAATTATTACTATTATCTTAAACTGCCTTTTGACTATATCTGCCGTTGTATTGGTTAGTGGAGCAGGTGTTAGCTGGAGGGAGGAGACTCTCAAGGCTGCGGCCGAAAGCCGCGCAATGTGGGAACCCCATTCCCTTGAGGTAAGCGATAGACTCATGACACAGTTTGCGGCTAGTAGCCGTGCTCACCATACAATCGGTGGTGATACCATACACTTACATCACATCTGCAAGAGCGGCGGTCTGACAGATGGTGGCGCTCTCGGAGAGCTTTTTTCCAGAGAGTTTAGAGCCAGTGTGCTTATTTTTTTTTCTTTCAAAAAAAGCTTTACCTCCACACTGGGATTTTCTCCTGTATCGTGAGAGCAGTTTACAAACATCCAGACCCGGAACAATTACTTGTAGGCCATACAAATACTTGTTCCGTGTGGGATTCGAACCCGCGGCCCTTAGCGCTGTAACTCATCACTAAGCCACTGTGGCACGGAGCCGTGTTGCCTAAACCGTGTGACGCACATTAACTGTGGCTGGATTTGATCGTAATCTGTATGGCGTTTACGTTTCGGTCAATGTTTGTGCTTACGCACTGCCAAGGAGCCAAGCCCCCTTTTACTGGTTCGCATGTTATTTTGCTGTGGACTACGGTGCAGTTCCGAACTTAACGTTCCGCTTCGAAGGGAGCGCGTTGGTTGCTTGGCGCTCACTGTACACGGCATGTGTGGAATACGGCATGTGTTTTTTTTTAAATGTGAGAGAGCGAAGCCCTTGTAAGCTATGGTTGAGATCTGTCTCCGATGGGCCCCACAGGAGATGGAATAAAAAGTTCCATACCCTAAAGGGTATGGAACTTTTTATTCCATCTTCTGTAACCAGCCACAGAATCAATCACAATTTTGGGATAGTACGGTGAGAAGCAATCCCGCCCCCAAGAATAGAACGATAAAACAGACTGCATCTTATCCCAATCGGCCGACATATTGTGTCAAACACAGTGGCAGCCTGCAGAATGCAATTGCGATGTTAGCGTGAGCGGCACCACACTCCGGACTAGAGAATGGTCCTAGGAGCCAAGAGAGACCTGATATCAGTCTGGATGAGAGGCAAGCAGAAGATCCAACAGGGAAGATGTATGATCCTCTACATCTAGAATTCTTATAGGCGAAATTACCAGTTTTGACTATATGTCAAGGCAAAGTCGTAAACAGATTTCCCGCAAGACCGGTTATACGTGAATCGGTGCATATCATGATCTCTGTGGATGAGAACTGCTGTAGCAAGGAATCTGTAGCCATTTTAACGTATCGATGAGTCGGTCTGTGTCGGCATCATGGGACCTAGAGAGGCACCCGTAGACACGCAAATATTCGTCGCTATCGACGTGCAGCCAAATGATATAGAAAATAGATATCAAAAATACAACATATCGTACCCTTATTGCAAAAACATGGTTTGCATAAGGTAAAGGGGTCGTCGTAATTTGCAAGTTGTTTTTATGGATGTAGTAACATCCAATATCATAAACTCATTAGACATGTCATAATTATAGTAAATCCTATTGTCTCCTTTCATATACTTCATACGTTTAATCTTGAGCCAGTTCACTTTTTCGCCTTCTGTGTTTCTATTTCTATTTATTATTACCGTCTCCGCCAATACCTTTAAATCTTTAAATTCATGGTATTTGAATTCTTTAACATGGTAAGCGTTCTTTGTAACTTTCTTACCTTCACGTTTATAAACTTTTTAAGACCTAGCCAGTTTAAAAACGTTTATCAAGTCAGACATACAGTAGATGTCACAATTTTTCTTCGAAGTTTCTATAGCGCTGTGCATGGAGTCAGCTTCCATGTAGCTGTGAACGGATTCGAGGAACTTGTGTTCTATTATGTCTAGGTGTGTGTCCTGCATCATAATCCACAATAGTATGGCGGCAATATACTGATTACGGTTTTGGCCACCACACGTGTCTGAAAACAAGCTGACTTCTTTAATCTCCTTTGGCACGCATGTGGTTAAGTAATGATGTAAAATCGTTCCGATTTCAGCACTGCCTTTTTTACCATGCACTTCGTTCCAAACAAAACAGTAAGCTTCATTGGCAAGTGCTATTTCGTAAATTGTTAAATTGTTAACTGTCAATTTTCTTGTGTAATAGAGAAGACCTACATCAGTACTGGGAATTTGCAATATTGCTCGTAAGTCAAACGAAACTGTTAAGAAATCAGTTTCTTTTTCATCCCTTTGTTTATCGTTTTGTTTTTCCCGATTACATGTTTCCTTCCTTTGTATGTGTTTATAATAATCTTTTTGTAGTTTATCTTTTTCATCGCCGTTGGCACGCTTGAATTTGGTACATAAAAGACATTGGTCTTTTTTAGGCATAAAAAACCTAAATTAAATTCTGCAGAGAAAATCCTTCGATAATTCATTTCTGATACAACTGGTTCGCTATTTTTGTTTTTGCATTCTTCTTCATAGAGAGCGTACATTTTGCTTAATGTAAGTCCTGTATCTAAATACCTGCGTTTCAACTTCTTTCGCACATAGTGGCTTTCTATGCTAGGAAATGATGCAATGTGCTTTTTAACACCTTCTACCACCTCAGACGACGTTTTATTTGGAGGCTCACGACGACCGCGCGGGGCTGTTCTTTTGAATACTGTCCCAAACTATTGCGGTGCTTTACAGCATCTGCTATCACATGCGGTGAAATGCTTAATGTTCTGCAAAAAAAATCTTGGCACACATTTGCTTTCATTCCTTCAATGATAAAAAAACATTGTTTTGTATACTTGCGCTGTGTAGATCGTTTTCTGTTCAAAAGAATCCTCTTTGTAGGTTTGACTTCAATATAACTCAATATAAACTGTTTTTTTTAATGTAGTCTAGGTTCCAGTGTTTTCTGCACAAATCTTTACGAATTTTTTCGGTTACATGATTGTTGCAGTTAAATTTGCACTTAGAACAGTTAATAGGCTTAGGGAGTTTTGGTTCTCGATATTTCGATTTAGTTACGTATGGAAGGCCTTCAGCTCTACGTCTTTTTGCTAGATTATTTTTCCATGTAGCTGAATCTCGTCGACTCCATCGAACACGTGGTTGTATAACTTTCTAAGTTAGTTTAAATATATTTTCCGTTATTGCTTGGACCACATACTGGGATTCATTATTATTAGGAAGTTGTTTTGGTTTGCCAAACAATAAGGCTATAGCTTTACTTAGCATTTCTTTTATATTATTTTCTTTAGTTAAATATCTGTCTGGATTTAACAACTCATCCAATTGTATAAATTCTGAATCGTCAGATTCAGGTGTAGTAGGGCGATCTTGATCATAAGGTAAATACGACGGGTCCCTATCTAAAAGTCACCACCAAAGAGAGATTCATTTTCGCTTTCTTCAATTCGTTCCTGATTTTCCATAGTTAGTTTTGATGAAATGTCAACTGTTATTGAAAGAAAAAAAATTAAGTTAATTCTACAAAAGATAAACAATACTGTTGGATATGTATAGGATGTTAAATTTAAATTTCAAAGAGCATGGTTAGCCACTAGGTACTCTGCTCACATACACATACATAGACGTTTAAAACAGAAGTAAAACAGAATAATTAATTAATATTATGGCGTGTAGTGGCGGTTGAGACTATCCACTACCCCATATCTTCCCGTGGGTGTCGTAAGAGGCGACAGAGGGAGACAGGCAGGAGATGGGCAGCAGCATCTTCCTCATAACAACAATAACATAATAAAAAACTGAGGTTGCCAACCCGCTCGCCAAGCGTGGCAACTATGGCAAATATCCCCTCATGAGTAACGACGCAAACAAACGGCCCCCAGTCCCCGGCGGCCCCGCTATTCCTGGCTACGGTGGCGACCATGGTAACGGCGGGGCAGGGGGTGCTAAGAATCTCCGGTGGAGGTTTGGTTGCCACCTACGACGACTCGACCTGGCAACATATAACGCACGCACCCTGAGGACTGACGAGAAGATACTGGAGTTGAAAGAAGAGGTAGACAAGTTGCGCTGGCATATTATTGGGTTATCCGAGGTCCGAAGAGAGGGGGAAGACACGGTGATCCTCGAGTCCGGCAACTTGTTCTATCACCGGGAGGGCGACCATCTGTCCCAAGGAGGTGTCGGATTTATCATCCACAAGTCTCTCGTCAACAACGTTGTAAAGATTGGGAGTGTGTCGACGAGTACGTGTTGGTCTCATACCTGATACTCAGAATCACCAAACGGTATTCGCTGAAGGTCATACAGGTTTACGCACCAACCTCAGCACATTCCGATGAGGAGGTGGAGGAAATGTATGAGGATATTTCCAAAGCCATACATTCCTCAAAAACCCACTACACGGTGTTGATGGGAGACTTCAACGCAAAACTAGGCACAAGAGAAAACGGTGAGCTGAAGTTAGGGAAATTTGGAGTAGGGCAACGGAACCGAAGGGGCCAGCAGCTGGCCTACTTTATGGAGAAAGAGGGACTCTTTATGATGAACTCTTTCTTCCAGAAGCGGCCCCACAGGAAGTGGACCTGGTCGAGCCCCGACGGTTCGACAAAAAATGAGATGTACGTGCTGCTTTCGAGAGTCATTATGAATCGTCTCGCACGCAGACTCGACGACTTCCAGCCTCTCGTACAAGCCGGTTTCCGAAAAGGCTTTAGTACCATAGACCACATACATACCCTTCGGCAAATTGTACAGAAGTCCGCAGAGTACCATCTGCCACTTTGCCTGGCGTATGTGGACTATGAGAAAGTCTTTGATTCCGTCGAAATTTGGGCGGTGCTACAGTCTCTTCAGCGGTGCCAAGTTGACTGTCGGTATATCGAAGTGCTGAAGTGTTTGTACAGTAGGGCTACGATGGCTATCCGAGTACAGAACCAGAGTACGAAACCTATCCAACTGCAGAGAGGTGTAAGACAGGGTGACGTTATTTCCCCGAAACTCTTCACCGCTGCATTGGAAGACGTTTTCAAGCTACTGGACTGGAAAGATACGGTATTAACATCAATGGCGAGTACATCACTCACCTTCGATTTGCCGACGATTTAGTCCTTATGGCAGAATCGCTGGAGGACTTAAGCACTATGCTCAATGACCACAATTGTGCGTCACAGCGGATAGGTCTTAAGATGAACATGGACAAAACAAAGATCATGTTTAATGTCCATGTCACACCTATGCCGGTAGTTGTTGGGAGCACTAAGCTCGAAGTTGTTGACGAGTACGTTTACCTGGGACAAATAGTCCGGCTAGGTAAATCCAACTTCGACACGGCTGGGCAGCGTTCGGGAAATTACGACACTTCTTCTCGTCAGGTATACCTCAAAACCTGAAAACTAAGTTGTACAACCAGTGCGTGTTGCCAGTGATGACATATGGACTGAGACGTGGTCCTTCACTGCTGGCCGTATGAGGACGCTCAAAGTCGCTCAGCGAGCTATGGAGAGGGCTATGCTAAGTTTCTTTGCGTGATAAACTTAAAAATGAAGATATCCGTAGTAGAACCAGAGTGACCGACATAGCCCAACGGATTAGTAAGCTGAAGAGGCAATGGGCCAGCCATATAGCTCGAAGAACCGACAACCGTTGGGGAAAAAAGGTTCTCGAGTGGCAGCCTCGTACCGGTAGACGAAGTGTAGGGCGACCCCCCACTAGATGGAGTGAAGACCTGGTAAGACATGCAGGAAGTCGATGGATGCAGGTGGCTCAGGACCGGAGGCCTATGTTCAGCAGTGGATTTGTAAAGGGCTGTAATGATGATGATGATGATTATGGCGTCACTATTCATTTTCTTCGAGCGGCCTGAAGAACAAAGTATCGTAAAATTAGCCTTCTCAAGAGAACTTCAATACAAACTTATAAAAAATAACTTGTTATGAACTTCTCTTGAAAGCACAAGAACCAAAGAAGACTTACCAGATTCTGACTCTCCAGCATAATTGCCAACAGGACCTATCTGATTCATTTTAGTACAATCACTATCTTTCTTTCTTTTCTTTTCGACCTGACTCGAGCAAGCAGCATCTGTAAACAGATAATCACGTTGAATAAGATTTGTTAGTCGGGAGGCAGCTCGGGAGTTTTAAGTTTGTAATTGTATTTATAGGTTTTTAAATGTAATAACTTCTATAGTTTAGCTATAATAACTTATTTTGTGACAGAGAATACTTTCATCATATTTGGCTGACCTGATCATCATCGTACATGGGCGGGACGGCCCCTTTTCCATAAAAAAAAGTGTGGTTTTTTTTTTTATAATTTTAGAAAAATATAAAAAAAAAAAAAAAAAAAAAATGGGTAAAGTTGTTTGGGTTTGATATAAAAAAATATTTTTATTTTTTTTTTTTTTGTTTTTATATTTTTTTTTTTTTTTTGTTTTTTTTTTTTTTTTTTAAACAATTTTTTTTTTTTAATAGTTATTGGTGTAATGTTTTTGTTTTTTTTTTGGTGGTTAGTAAACTATAGTTTATCTAAGTTTTTTTATCTGCAATAACTTTAACCAAATATGGTGTTAATTTTTCGGCAAAAAGCTACTAACAGTTTTTAGTTTGTTTTACTGGTAAATACATCAGCTATTTCTAGTATATTAATAAAAGCTGAAACCAGTTACCGCAAGTTAATATTTACTAGCAGAATAATATCGACATAACAAATCAAGCAACTACGTCTGAAAAGTGTTATAATACGAAACATGGTTTTTGTGGTATACATTTAAAAATTTTAAGTATTTAAATGAGTTTAGTTCTTTTTTTCAAGAAGATAATTAAATCATACTTGAAGGTATTTGCTTTTAACTCTAGCTATCCCCATAAAAAGGCGTCATAGGAGACAATGGGTTTTACCTGTAGCTTTGTCGTGACTGGAAGAGTCGATTGATATATTTAACTTAATTTTGGTACAAAAATGAGATAATCGGTTTTTGCAATAAGGTTACGATATAAAGTAAACGCTTTTTTGCCCTAAGCTTGAATTTTGAACATGTTAAAGCCACGCTGAAGCTACATTATTGTTGTACCACGTATGGGTCGGCTCGACCGGGAATGGACCACGATTTCACAGAATACCAGCGTAAAATAGCAGCCTAATACTGCTGTGTTTTGTATGGTGAGTGTATAAAACCGAAGACCTTTTTTACTGAAAACGAGGCATTCCATCTTAGTGCTCATGAGTAACAAAGCATCTGCATTTTGATTCTTAATCGCGTATAGATGTAGGTGTGTAGATGTCTACGGGCCACAGCATCCACTTACCATCAGGTGGACGGTGTGCTCGTTTGTCGCCCTTATACTATAAAAAACTATAAGTACCAAGAAGTAACGCTTATATGTTGGCAAAAATAAAATTTTAAATTCTTTAGCGACAATTTC